GGGATTACAGGCGTGAGCCACCGCGCCTGGCCAAAAAAAATGTTTTTTGATTTAATTTGAGACCAAATTTTGCTCTGTCACAGGCCGGAGTGCAGTGTCACAATCTCAGGACACTGCAACCTCAGCCTCCAGAGCTCAAGCAATCTTCCTACCTCTGCCTCCCAAATGGCTGGAACCACAACCAAAATTAAAAAAAAATACTTCAGAAGTACACATTGACCAGGCATAGTGGCTCATGACTGTAATCCAGCACTTTGGGAAGCTGAGGCAGGAAGATCATTTGAGCCTAGGGGTTCAAGACCAGCCTGGACAATGTAGTGAGACCCCCATCTTTACAAAAAATTTAAGAATTAGCTGGATATGGTGGCTTGTGCCTGTGGTCTCAGCTACTTAAGAGGCTGAAGTGGGGGATGGCTTGAGTCTGCGAAGTCCAGGCTGCAGTGAAATGGGATTACACCACTGCATTCTAGCCTGGGTGACAGAGCATGACCTTGTCTCAAAAAAAAAAAAAAAAGTACGTAGTATTTGTTGAAAGAAGAGCCTAAAAATGGTATACCTTTTCACCTAAGATGTTAACACCTGAGAATTTATACAAAGGAAAAGTCTTTTTTAACACGTTAATCATCAGAAGCTGCTTAATCTAAATACTAACAATCGAATACTTAAGTAAATTGTGATAAATCAAATCTGCATAGTATTATGTAGGCATTAACATAATTATGGAGACAAAGGTGCAAAGCATTCAAAATATTTAATGAAATGAGATACAAAATCCTATCTCTGCTGATAATAGCTGTGCACAATTATAATATATGTGATCAAAGACTAAACAGGAATCTATCTGACAAACGAAAAACAGATTTTAAGAGAGGATTCTGAGTGATCTTTCTTGCATTTTAAATTTCTATATTGTTAATAAAGTATTGTTTGTACAGTAAACCCTCATCTCTTAAAATTGTTGTTTCAGCTAGATGAACCTTGCGTTTTCTTTTTTTTTTTTGAGACGGAGTCTTGCTCTGTCGCCAGGCTGGAGTGCAGTGGCGCAATCTCAGTTCACTGCAGCCTCCACCTCCTGGGTTCAAACGATTCTTCTGCCTCAGCCTCCCAAGTAGCTGGGACCACAGGTGCGTGCCACCACGCTCGGCTAATTTTTGTATTTTTAATAGAGACAGGGTTCCACTGTGACCAGGATGGCCTCAATTTCTTGACCTTGTGATCCGCCTGCCTCGGCCTCCCAAAGTGCTGGGATTACAGGCATAAGCCACCACGCCCAGCCAAATCTTGCGTTTTCTTATCCTAAAATGATGATGAGAAGAACTGAAGTAAGGGCTCAAAAATACAGTGGTAGAATATGCAACAAAAGGTGTCGCTCCTTTCAGTCACACAGTGAGTTTTTTGGAGCTCAAAAAAGCCCCTGGAGAGGGCTCTTGATTCTCAGTGGCCAAATACCCAACCATGTGGTCCTCAAGTCTTTTTTTTTTTTTTTTTCCCAAACTACTTACCCCGCCTGGTCCTCAAGTCTTAATGCTGTTATGTTCAGGAAGTAAGTTGTGAGAGAAGAGAGATTATATTATCTTTTTTTTTTTAAAACTGGGTTTCACTCTGTCATCCAGGCTGGAGTATAGTGGCACAATCTTGGCCCGCTGCAACTTCCACTTCCCAGGTTCAAGCGATTCTAATGTCTCAGCCTCCCAAGTAGCTGGAATTATAACCAGATAATTTTTAAATTATAACCCAGATAATTTTTGTGTTTTTAGTAGAGTCAGCATTTTGCCATGTTGGCCAGCCTGGTCTTGAACTCCTGACCTCAGGTGATCCGCCTGCCTCTGCTTCCCAAAGTGGGATTACACAAATGAGAACCACACCCGGCTGTATTAGCATTATTTAACACTATTATTATTAAGAGTTTATAATCTCTTCATATACCAGATATGTAATTACAATCTCTGCTCTCCAGTAGTTTGCAAGTTAGGGATAAAGCTCCCATTAATTCTGAGTAGAAGGCCTTATACCTGGAAATGTCACCACGGAACAAAAAGCTGAAAGTATCCTGTGTAGAGATTTTCTCCTGGATAACTTATATATTAATATTAGCATCCTTGGGTATATAGAAATCAATTTCAAGCCAGGCACGGTAGCTCACATAATCCCAGGACTTTGAGAGGCCGAGGTGGGTGAATCACTTGAGGCCAGGAGTTTGAGACCAGCCTGGCCCACATGGTAAAACCCTGTCTGTACTAAAAATACAAATATTAAGCAGGTATAATGACACATGCCTGTGGTCCCAGCTACTTGGGAGGCTGAGGCAGGATAATCGCTTGAAACCAGGAGGCAGAGGTTGCAGTGAACTGAGATTGTGCCATTGCACTCCAGCCTGGGCACCAGATTCAGAGCCTGTTTGAAAAAGCAAACACAAAATCCAACAGCTGAATTAAACAGTTTGCTTAGTGACATAATAAAAAGTGCAATAAATTTGATATCAT